GTCTGGCAGCGCCAGTATTGATGCATGAAGGAGGCTGTCTTTGACACTGTAAAAAGCCCCCCGATGCTCGGTGTTCCAATACCATTCCTCATCCTTTTTAAGGAGACTTGTCAATGGCTGTGCCATTTCCGCATAATTTGCGCTATATTTGTGCAAGCAGTTGGCGAGGCCAAGCCACTTGCGCAAGTCCATTTGGTTCTTTGGAACCGGCCACTCCACAATAATCTTGACATTAGCGGGATCCGCTCGAAGCCGTCGCTACCCAATTATTGGGAAATTTCTCCGCGCCGAAGATGCTTTTGTCGGCATTAGTATACAGATTATTCGTGCGCATGCACTCGAACACCGCTCTCAAATGGACGATGTGTTTTTCATATGTCTGTGCATACGTCCGATGAGGCCTAAATAATTGCGTCACAAGATGATTAATGTTGCTGGTGCAATTGACAGCGCTTGGGGCATCACTACCAGCCACCCCCAGAGTATAACACTCGGAGTACTCACCGCTGTCAGCGGTTTGTCACTCGCTCTCATGAGCAATTGGTAATAACCATCGACCAAGTCGAGTACACTGTACTTTGTACAGTCAACCGTATTGTACTGGGGATATCCTTTCTAGGAACTAGCGTCTGTGTCGGAATGGTGGCAGCGTTTAGCTTAATATGAGCGTGAACGATACACCACTTACCGTTCGGCTTCCAGACACAAAAAGGTGGGTGCCGAATGGGGAGATTTGGTCTTACACACCATATCTGCATCGTGCTTCGCACGGGAAAAAGCGTCAATGATGTCACACTGCTCTTTGAGCAGGGGCCATTGGCGTGTTACGCAGTATTTGTTGAGGTTTGGTTCCCGGAACAAGGTTGATCTCATGACGCACACCTTAAACCGGAGGTAGTACCGACGGCGGGTCTTTGGAGACGACGTCTAGGAATTCCTTTACCAAAGCATAAGACGGATCCGAAGGACTCCTTCAGGATCGACAATCCACTTGGTGCCTCAAGCCCCCCCTAGTACCCTAGGACCAGAAGCGACGTCGAGTTAATCCCCTCGTTCGGTCTTAAATTGACCTCCTCGGCTTATTTGCCTGCCTTCGAGGCACCGCCAAACTCTTCGAAGGACGTCTCGTCCAGCTCAAGAAGAGCAATTACCGCGGGAATAGCCTCGAGGGTGACGTCGCCGTCTTCCTCTCCCGTCATACCGTTGACAAGGTATATAGCTGTGCGCTATCGTCCACGGTAGACACACCCTGGGTTAGGGTCGACGCCCTGCATCTTGCAGTAAACATAAGGCATCGCCGTCTCCTCGCTATAGAGGCTTTACGTCTCGTCGAGACCAGAGGGAATACGCACTCTGCGTCGTCCAGTGTGCCCACTCTCATCTCCATCGAAGCCTTGATGTTATTAACAACATCCGACGAAGGACTGCTATTTCGCCCAGTGGATAACTTGCCGCTCCACAGGCATCAGAAGGGTCTTGCACATGAGACCGTCCGACCATGCCACTCTTGGCATGCAGAAACGGCTTCGAAACGTGAGCAGTGCCCAGTGGATTACGTTCCACTCCACGCGCACCACAAAGACCTCGCCCTTGATGCCTCGGATCTTGTCCGACCATGCCATTCTTGGCATCCAGAAACTGCTTCGTAACGTGTGCAGTGCTCAGTGGGCTCCGTGCCACTCCACATGTATCAAAAGGGATCGCCCTTGTTACCTCGGCCCTTGGCCGACCATGCCACGGATGGCCAGCAGCGTCTACTCCAATACTTGAGCAGCGCTTACTGGATTACGTGCCACTCCATATCCAGCCCGCAAGTCATGCTCAGGACTCCTGTCTAATACACCTTCGTTGCTCACCAATTCAGATACTCCAATCTACAGCGCGTTGACCGTCTCGTTCCAGTGCCCGTGCCAATAGCGTTTTTGCGGTTTTACAGAGATGGGTTCATAACCCACCACAGCATAATCAGGAGACGTAAGCGTAGCGCCCAAGCACTTCGACCTCCAGTCGAGATTAGACTCAATATATTTCAGCCATGTCATACCAAGTCTATCTTTAATCTTAAATTAGGGTTTGGGGTTTAGAAATATTTAAGTTAAGTTCACACAAAAAAATCTTACGAAATCATCGAGAGCTATCCTGCAATTGTCCGTTATGATAGGTTAAAAGTGAGGTTAAATGTTTTATTATAATTCTAGGGTTTAGGGCTTAGGTATAGTAGAACTTATATTAGCATAAGAACTTTAAGGAGGACCTAGGGAACTACCTCGAAAAATTTTGGTAGCATAGTTTTCGCTAACTAATATCTTTAGTATGACATGTTATAGCTACACTTAGTTCCTTACGAACATTTTTCTTTTTTGGTTCTGGTTGAAATTATAATTGACTTTGGCCCTCACGGGTAGATCCGTATTTTATTTTGGCAGGTTTTGCGATCAACATGATATAACTTGTGACAGGTATTTATGCTCTGAAAGATATCAGATATGTTAGGGTTATAACCTCCGACATGTATCCGATTTGCCAGAGTTTTGTGTCACATCATATAAGTTGTGACGGGTATAACGGATCTGGCACTTAGCAGATATAACACAGATATATACTCTGAAAGGTATCAGATAATAGGGAATATAAAATCTGGCAAGTATCAGATGTGTTGAGAAATTTAACTTCTACTGGACCTGGGGTTAAGGGTTTAAACCCCATTGGCTTAGATAAGACCGCAGTCAATGGGGCAGTTGTCGATAGTTGCGAAGGATATAGCAAAGTCTTGAGATTTGGAGGCTTGGGGTAGCAGATTTCCACCTATGTGCCTTGGGCCTTTTCCATCTCATTGGTCTCTAGTAATGAGTGAAGTCTGCTTCTTGTTAATCCATTGGGATCGTAATGGAGCTGAAAGACGATAGGCGCTGTTGCGGCGGTTTTTGGACCGATGTAGTATTCTTGAGCGCCTCTTAAAACAGCGGTTGTAGTGTTGTTGGCGTATAACCCCGGTCAAGTAGGTGTGCATATAGTTGTTTCACGATTTGTTTAAAATCTCGAATTCGTGTCTTCTGCTTGCGGTATTACCGTAATTGACCAATGATCAACCCCTTGAGTACACCTGGATGGGCGCCATTGGCAGGAATATACAGGTACAGATTCAAAGTTTTCTGATATATGCGCGTGTGTAACCGTTGTCCATTTCGAATGATTCGTAGATCGAGAAAGACAGTATCATTTGTTTCGATAGAGCTGGTAAATCGTAGTCTAGACTGTCGAGTGAACATTACCAGAAAGTAACGAAAGCTGTATGGTGAATCGGTGGGGTTCCACACAGTTAATACATCGTCAATGTAGCCTTTATAGTAGACTACATATCCTGAGATTTTTTCAAGTAAGGTTTATGGCAATGTGAGCTACATATAGGGAAGCAAATGTCGGTGCCACGGACGTTCCCATAGCTGTTCCCAGGATTTGGCGCCAGCACGCGTCTCCAAAGGTAAAGTAGTTGTTATTTATTACTGACTGGAGTCCTGACAGAATCGCGTTTTCCCATATACCGTGAATAAGTTCCGTGATTGTCTTGATGGTATTCTTGATCGATATATTGGTGTAGAGAGATTCTACGACAATAGCGATTAACAGCACACCGGGCGGGATAAATAGGTTAGGGAGTTCCGTCAGAATCTGGTCTGATTCACGAATATATTTCTTGGAAAATATATAGAAAAAATTGGAGCTGAAAGTCTAACCATTTGGAGAGTCATTCGAGAATGCTTGCGCTGTTGGATACAATAGGTCGAATACAGAGTGTAGGTCTGTGATGAATCTTCGCCAAAGCGTAGAAGACGTTTAACCGAGACTTGGCTAAATTCGCCGTTATGATCCGAGTTGTGTCCCAGTCAGTACGATATGCATATCTCTTTGCTATATGTTTGTACCATATACGAACGAAAGTTCGTATAAGTCGGGTCAGTGTGTCAACTGGAGCGCGTTGCAGCACATATAGTATCGCATCTGAGAGATGGTCCACACATAGTCTCACATAATGTTCTGTTGTAAAAAACGCTGGTCGTAAGTTCTTGTCGGTGATAACCACCTTAAGATCCGGGCGACTTTTCAGAAGTTGAAACGTGTCGCGTTGAGTCGAGTTTAGGTTCCTGAATTTCCTCAGTTGCCATGTCTCCCAAAAAATTATGTTTAACACGTTGCAGAATTGCCTCGATTGATGCCGAGGCTGGCTTCGGCTGAATCGATGGGTTTGGGACAGAAAGTCTCTTGTTATATTTTTTTGTTGGCTCCCGAACTGTGCGGAAAGACGAACTTTCCGTATAATGCCTGGAAGGGCAGCATAAAGATTTGACAGGCGGTGAGGTCGAGGAGTCGGGATAAATTTTAGGTTAAGACCTAGTAGACGATCCAGAGCAAGGGAGTTGCAATAGACGACGGTACAAACTTATGAAGAGCTAAGTTCCGTGCATAGCTATTAATTTCTCTTGTTGTTCGGCTAGCAGAGAGAGCTAGCGCATTCCTTTTGTCTGATCGACCTACTTGGATTGGGTCTTCTTTTTCGTGTTCTACACGCTTTTCTGCTTGGCGTTCTTCTTTGATCTTGGCTTTGTGGGTGGCTTTCCGGACTTGGCGGGACCGGTTGCGTCCACTATTCCACTTGCATTTCGGTGAGCTTGAGAAGTTGCTTCTTCTGTAAAGGCTTTTGTGAAGGCTTTCCTTGTTTTTATGAGGCTTTGCAGTCTTGTTTCGCCGATCGGTGCCCCTTTGACGACTGGTGCTGTCGTTTAACGCTTCCTTAAGTTTTGACACCTGAGATTTCAAGGGTTCTTGACTCGTGTTGTATGCGTTTGTGGACAGGCTTCTGAACCGAGGTGGCCATGGATGTTTCTACTTCGATATCCATGGCTGTGGTTCGTTTTGCTTCTTTAGCAGCTTTCGCTCGATTTTGTGTGACTTGTTCAATTGCCATATCGTAGCGTAGTTGAGTCAATCAGTTGAGAGTTGGGCCGTCGCCATTAAGAAGTCTTTTTTGCCATCGACGATTGTCCGTCAGGGGAGGAGCAAACACTCCCCCAGAATATACCAGATGACTGAAATGTGGACTGGACATCTTTATAGAAAGGGTTTATCTCTCTAAATGAATCTCTCGATAGGATCTCAAATTAACACTGAAGTAGCATCAGTTAAGCACCGGTGTCAGCAGTGTTAATTGCTGTCAGTGCTTGCTCGTTGCCGGCAAGCTGCTAATTGTATTGAGCGCGCAAAGATGCTGCGCTGTCGGAATTCTCGAGCTCTTTAGACACGGTCAAAGAAACCTTAGTCGTCACGGAGCAAGGTGGGTCGGCTTCAAAACGTTAATGTGCTGACTCCTTCGATTTGACTCGAACAGCAAGATTTCTGTATCGTTTGATCGTGACATCGATGATGTGTTTCGCTGGTGGTGGTAGCTGCGGACTGCGGCAAATAGCATTATTCGGGTCCATCCATTAATGTGACAACATAGGTTGAAGTAGGCTGATTTGAAAGTCGAATGATGTCACCGACGGCTCGGTTACAAACAGTCTGTTCGGAGTCACTGTCGGCTGGTCGTCTCGGTCAGACGTTGGTCGTGGGTATGTCTGTTCATCTTGAAGTCCGTCTTCATATACGATTGAAGGTCCGTCTTGAGGTCGTTCTTGTTTCAGTCATGAGGTCATCTCGATGACAGACTGAATTTATAGTATTTAGGGTACAGGGTCAAGGGTGAATTTCCCCTGCGGTTCAAACAAGCCAGGTGGGCATGAGACTGCATTGAAGTATAGAGTACGAGCTCTAGACTTGAGCATGCCGTGATCATGAGTCGCCGTGATGAGAACAGGTTGTGCGTTACGACTAACAAACCAGTTTTAGATGTCACAATCGGGCACGTTGAACGGAAGGCGTTGAAGATCAACAAAATACAGCTTGTCGAGAAGTGAATATTTTTGTGTGGCTACTGACGTATCGCATACTTGAAGCGTAACACCCCCAAGACATCGAAGCGCTTCTTTTGATCTGCAAACAAACCCAATAACTTGATGAGGGATTCAGACAAAGTCCTGCACACATCCCAAATGCAAGTATCTACGCCATAGTTCTCGCTGGTAATCCGCCTTTAGGATACACACAGCTTGTCGATGTTATGCTCAGACAGCTTTTGTACAGGCCGCACATCCTTCTTGGTTACGGTGACTGTAAACCCTAGAAGATTGAACTTTTTTTTTAAAAAACAGGAGTTGCTGTTGGGATGACACCACTGAATGCATGTTGAACAGGCGGATGACGTCATACTTATTAC